TCAGGCGCCCATGTGCCCCAAGATGACATGACATTTTTTGCTGATGAATGGAGCCGGTGAGTCTTTTTGTCAAAAAAACGTCATCGCAACAGGTTAAGTTGCAAATTCATTCTTTGGCATGTAATATAGTCTAACGCTATGTGATGTAGTCTGCATGCTAGTACTATGTTTTTTCCGATTAACAAGTATTGTTAACAGTATTTGCTTACAGTATGATATCACTCAGCAAAAAATACATTGACTAGGAAATGCTCTCCACGCGATTGACATATAATCGTCTATATGTCTAGCTAATTCTATGTTCATGATTGCAAGCTCCCTACTTATTTCCGCACCGCCTACTTGTGTGCTTGCCTACTTCCACCCAGTGGCTGCCTGCCTATTCCCATACCCGCTTACCTATCTCTGTAGCTGCTTGCCTACCTGCCTACCTCCGCACCTGCTTGCCCACCTGCTTCCCTCCGGACCTACCTGCTTAATTACCTACTATCACGGAGCTATGGGCGATGCACTATGATACCAAGGAATACAACCAAGACAAGGACGAGGTGTATAGGTATTCAGAGCTATGGAGTATGCGGTGGTTCGACCTGATCGAGAATCAAAGTAAACCATATGAGGTGACGTAGAACAAAGTAATATTTGTAGTATGAGGTACAAGGTTGTGTGAGGAGAAGAGGAAAGGAAAGAAAACAAGAACGGACACGAGATAACACCCCTTTATATATCCAATACCCTTGTCCGATGTTGACTTATACCTCTGAGTAACAGAAACTAAAAGAACATAATAGTAATCTTCTTTACAAATCCTATTCCTCTGCACAATACCCCCTCTTCCTATTCCAACATATTGCCTAGCCGAACTACATAGCTGCCATTATATTTACTCGATGGCAGAGCCTTTGAAGATTATTGAGTTCTAGCAATAGTATCTTTGAATAATCTACACCTGATTTCTGTCTTGCACAGCCAAATCTATTATATTAGATTCTAGCGACATATAAAAAGACTGTCCCATTACAGATCCCGTACGACAGTAACATATATTTGTCTATCTGTCTATCTAATTCTCTGTATACATATTTACTAGTGCACTACTTACTTCTGTGCTGACTACCGGCCTGCTTACCTGCATCCACGTTTCCCTCTCTACCCGACTGTTTCCGTAACTCGCTACCTATTTGCCTACCCCCGCACCTTCCTGCCTACCTGTCTACCTATTAGGAACTTCATTGACATTGATGAACTGGAAGTGCACATTGGCAGTCAGTCGTCAATTTAGGTAGGAGGTAGGTGTCCATTCAGGCAGGAGGTAGGTGTCGATGCAGGCAGGAGGTAGGTGTCGATGCAGGCAGGAGGTGTTGAGGTAGTTATCGAGAGGAAAGTAGGCAGACAGGCGGGAAGGCAGAAGGTAGGCAGCTAGGTAGGTAGGTTAGCATGTAGAGATTCTCAAGATGTCAAATCTGACATCATTCGCTAACGATTTCAGGCCTACGAGTATTAGTAGGACTTAGATATATTCACAATAGTTGGTCCTCTTTTTGGAAGTAGTAGAGCGTCAAGTGACGAGGTATCATACTTGGGACGCCCACTAGGCAATAAAAGGCAAAATGTCAAATTTCAAGTTTGGACGACATCAGGCGTTAAAAGGTGAGATATTATATCTCAAATGACTATTAGATGTTAAAACGTGAGAGATCATATTTTGGATACTTATTAAGCACCAAAAGACATCGTATCACATTTTAGCAGCAGCGGGACGAGGCTTTGTAAGCAATAGATAAGGTTTTGGGAACGGAAGACTAATTAGGATATACGGACATGCGGATTCACCCTGGTGAAACCCGTTTTTTGTTGATGTACTTATACTCCAAAGTTCTCTATTCTCTGCTCCTACTTCCTCACTAAGTTCCGGCCATGCCCCTATTGGGCAGGAAACAATAACACCATTATACTGCTTCTATATAAGCACTAGTGAGTGGTTTAGTTCCGAAAGCAACTAATTTTAGTCTCAGCTTTTTGCAACACTAGTTGTCACTGATTGCCAAACAACATCAGCAGGTTTAACAATTTCTGTAAAGTATCTCCTGAGCCTCCCGAGAATCAAAATCGGTTTTGATATCTCTGGAGAGCCCTAGGAGACTTAGGAGACTGTTGGGAGGCTCATGAATATGTACAAACTTGATGATGAAGCGGGGCAAGGATGAATGAATTACCACTCATTGTCAAGTATCAGGTGAAGCAGTACTATGATAGAGTCCCTGCCGCTACCGGCAGTCTCTGCATGTTCAGACCATTGAGAGGGTCATCTATAACTCAGAGCTTCACTCTGGCCGGCATTCTAATAACTGGCAAAACATACTAGTAGACTCATCAGTTTTTGCTACCATGAATAGACCCTCTACCTAGGGCTCAGAATGTAGCTACTCCGACACCTGGTAGCTAGCCACACTGCCGGTACTTGCATGTCATTGTGCAACTGGCTTCTAACAATAACTCTCAGTATGTAACCGGGCCCTGTTTGTGCTCATACAACAGTTGAGATAGCTCCGTTACAAAACGACAATGAAGTATTTGCCGAATTTTTTTCTGTGTCCACCAAACCTAATACGGAAGAGTCACAATGTCTTTATCTCAACAAATATCTATCAAATTCAGGAACTTGAGTTTTAGGGCCGTTACTTTGTAGCACTCCCATATTTCCGGATGAGGAAACAGCTGGACACAGAAAAAAATCTGGCAAGTACTTGTCCCTCTCCGGACCAATTTAAAAAACAATATATACCGGGTGTTGAGGGTAAGTGATCAGAATCTGATAAGTGAATGTTACGGTGAATAGGTGTATTTGTCTTATCAGATTCTGATCACTTTTCGCTACACCCTAGTACCTACAAGAATATTTTTGTCACTCCCAGCAAATAAATAGACTGCTCCTAAACTTAGAGTCCTAGCGATGCCGAAAATCTTATTGATCATGTGACTCATTACTCTCTCAACCACCCGTCATCACTAGTAGGTACATGTTAGTCTCGTACTCATCCTGTGTTTGCTTCACGCAGTGCGAGAAGAAAACAGTCTGGGAACGAGACTAGGTACATGTATGTATCATTCGATTGTGACTTGTATCGTTCGTACATAAGCAACCGAGCACAGCGAAAGCTTTCTATAAGGGTACGGTCGGGACCGGAATTTGGTTATAGAGAGATTACCCTTATATAAATGGTGCCAGTGCTGAAAGCCGGGCAAAAAGGACCAAGAAGTGCTACCTTTATCCCTTGGACGGATGAAACTCTCAAATTCGCAGCCTTCCTCTTTCAGCTGATACTAGCCATATCTGATAACTGGCGTTGATTTTTGATTGGTTTTATTATTATTACCGCAAATAAAAAGCGGCAATATTACCTGACTAAGTGAGTGCACGGTCCAGGCTGCGAATTTGAGAGTTTCATCCGTACAAGGAATAGAGAGATTACTTATAGAAGGTACCCTTATAGCAAGCTTTCGCTGCCATCCTTCTCATCCTCTGACAACGCCTCGTCAACACCACCAAGACTTGACGAGAGCGGGGTATCCTCTCTAATAAAGACTTTTCTTTGGCTTCACCACCAAGGATTAGTCGCACCGATCCTTTTCCTCCTATGACTCGGGTCACATAAAAAGGAGTGACATTTCGCACGATCGCCTAGAGAGCTTTCGTCAACCGCATCTTAGTTCTTGTCTTCATTGACAAGTTCCCACCTCTCTGGGGGCCTTTCATACAGGTCCCCTCCCGCCATTTATTTCACCGGCTCATCCTCACGGGGAGGAGCTCCCTTTCGATATTACACTGCCTTCGACTCGGGACCCTGAATTGTCACGGGCGGTACGGCAATTTTTCGCCATTTTGTTACTCTCTTCTCTCCTTCTTTTCTTTTGTCGACTTGTAGTGGGGGGGGGGGGGGTTTTCTTGTCGTCTACCTTGTAAGAGGATGTGCGGTTGGTAGCATACCACAGTTACTATAACGGGAAGACCGGGCGGTCAGTATAGGGGATAGGTAGAGTTCACGCCATAGGTTTTTACCTCCATGCGATATTCATGTACCTAGAATCAATTGAAACTATGATCTAAAAAAAAAAAAGCAAGCTTTCGCTGCAAACCTCATAGCAACACCAGCGCATATTACCAAACAGCAGCGCCAAGGAAAGGAAGGGCTTGGTTCATAACTACTCACTCGATTTGTCAACCCTCTACTTCGGGAACAATACGGCCCATTCCAATATGACCAAACACTTATCCCGCCGCGAAAGGTTCCTCCAAGAACAAGAGTGTATCAAGCCTACGTCCATAAGAATACATATGGACCCTCCTCGTATTCTAAGTTGTTAATAATATCGTTATGGGGTTCTTGATTTTCTCCAGTTAAAGGGGCCGAGACTACATGTACGCCAGCAACTCCTTGCAGACAAATTATTCTTATCGGTGCCATTCTTATAACGAGATTCGACTGTTTTTATAAATGAATATACACATCTTACATTATCGATCATTGACCTACCGGCTCGTGCATGAGCTGTGACAAAAGTTTAACTCTGCGAGTCTCAGCTCCTAAAATGCTAAATTAACCACTACCTGAACCGTGTAACACACAATGATGATCTTTCGGGTGTATAATTATACCGGAACCGTACCTCATCTCGAGTCACGGCCCGTAGGATGTTGGCTAGTGGACTATTGGCCGCTCTGACCATAAAAAAGACTGCAAGCTATGGTTTCATCTATGAAAAACCAGGTCCATTTTAGGCCCTGACAAAATAAAGAAAATTTTAGTTCTAAGGGCTTTCGTTGAATGATATACGAGACCAGCCCTGAGGATTCTGATCTTAGAGTTACTATTCTATGCCATTTTGTATCCATCATATTTCGTTGTTATCTTCTGTTTAGCAACATTATGGCGTTTCAGTAATCCTAGATCATATCCACAACAGTGCCACAGTTACCAGGTTCCCTATTATAACAGAGCCTATTCGTCAAATTTCCCCTTTTTAACCACAAACGCTTCCAAAGCTGCGATCGCCGCGTAAAGCCTATTTTCCGCTTCAGAAAAGACTAAACTTCTCGGGGAGTAAAAGACATCATCCGAGACTTCTTCAGGTTTCCTTGGCAAGCAGTGCATGAATTTCCAATCTTTGTCTGCGCCTCCTTTTTTGGCAAGCTCTGCCGTGACTTGGAACCCCTGGAATTGCTTCAATCTTTTAACTTTCTCTGATTCTTGCCCCATAGAAACCCAGGTATCCGTAACGATGACGTTGGCTCCCTTTACTGCCATCTCGGGCTCATGGGTAGTCTCAATTATCGCACCACTTTTATCGGCTACAAGACGAGCAAGCTCAAGCATGTCAGGACCCACGGGATACATACTCGGGGTGGCTATAGAAACGTTGATCCCAATTTTCCCACAAGCTATGACAAGGTCATAAAGAACATTGTTTGCGTCGCCAACCCAAGCCACCTTGATGCCCTTATGTTTAGGGAAGTGCTCGGTTATGGTGAGAACATCGGTGACCGCTTGAAGGGGGTGGAAAGCGTCAGAAAGTGCATTGATGACTGGAACTGTTGACGTTTTTGCGAGTTCGGCAATATCTGAATGAGGGCCAACACGGGCGACGATACCAGATGTCATTGAGGAGATGACTTTAGAGGTATCGTAGAGCGATTCATTAACCTATATTTAGCGTGGTTAGCAGCCGATCATGCTAGACTACCGTAACTAGGACTGACCCCAAGTTGAATATCATCCTTTCCTAAGAACATAGGATGGCCACCGAGGTATACCACTGCGGCCTCGGTGGATACTCTAGTTCTGGTAGAACGTTTGGAAAACATCATCGCGATTGTCTTCCCAGATAATGTGCCCTGAAGTGAAGTGGAGATATTACCAGTCTTAATGGCATGTTTGGCTTTGCTGGACTGGCGGACAAGAGTGGAAAGTTCAGAAGCTGAAAGATCTGCAATTGATAAGAAATGTCGCGGAGCGAAGGGGGAGGTGGAATCATTTGTAGATGCTTGATAGCTATGATTAATTGATGGTGTGGTCGAGAGTTGACGGAGAAAGGTGTTGACACCAGTAGTTGTGACTGTGCGGGGATAGTGCCGCAAGGAGAGTTTCAGAGCAGTTGAAAAAGCCATTGGGTTCAGTCTTGAAATAATTTGGCGGATGAATATAGAGGCGTGGAGATAATGGCGCGGATCAATTAGATGGAGAGAAGAGCCACTCGTCTACCGGGTAAGAAAAAAAACAAGTCGAAAAGGAATGATAGAGTGGACGAGTTTATAAGATGCCAAGGCGCTACATACGTTTTTGTGGATGGTACCATTACATCATTTTACATGTACCTACATGTACTTACATGTAGTGATATCTGATAAGATCGGGGGCTGAGTGACAACGTATGATCGATAGATGACAATGCTAATCCTAGAGCGGGTGGCACTACCTGAACCCATTAGAGGGAAAAACGTCTTTTGAATTAGGATAGGGATCTGAACTTATCATTACAAAATGTAGAGATACCTTTTGACCGAATTCAATTGTTTTGCTAAATACATGTAGTTCGTAATTCTTGTTGTCTATAATTCTTTGTAATTTTTAGGGCCCGTTTGGTAGTTTAAGTCGTTACAACGGACTTATCCAAAGGGTCACTTATGTGGAGATGATAAGTCGCTCTCTAGAAAAGTTAGTTTAAGTTGACCGAATGTGGTTGGGTTGGAGGGGATATCGTTGCAACGGAAACAAAAAGCAGGCTCGGAGCTGCTTTTTTATTTCAGTCGATTTGTTAACTTTGGGTGACAAATCTACTGGAAAAAATGTGTCACGGTTGCCAAACAGTCAAAACTTTTAGAGAGTCCAGAATACGCGAATAAGTCGCTCCCCACTAAAATCCGACAAGTCGACTCCATTGCCAAACGGGCCCTTAGAGGTCAGACACAACTAGGATTAGCGTAGTTGATAATTAATTCGTGACTTACACTGGCACCAACCTCTTGAACTTCGAGACAAGTCATACTTGATAAACCAAAGTATTTGATACTTTATAAAATGAGTTTTTTTCACGGATATCTGCATTAGCAAAAAATGGGATTCGTCTTTTGTGTCCAAAACCTCGTCCCATCACTCCTAAATGTTACACATATCCTTTTGGAATCTATTTCGCTTGCGAAACTTGATATCTCGTCTTTTGACGCCTGGGCGCCTCCAAAGATATCAAATATCATTTGTTCCAAAATATCTTGATAGCACCGGCCCGGGCCAGACTCTATAATAGACTTGAGCTTCAAATTAAATATGGCTCCGAGTCTATCACCAAACTTTAAACTATTTTGTGTTTTTACAGGTGGGCTTGGTTGTTCTAAAAGATTTGCAGTGTGTAATCACTGCCCTGTGCTGTATCTTTTCTGTTATAGTTATGATCTGGAACCGTTCATTATGGAAGATACATATTTTAACTGAGGTACGAATGGCTGATAACTCCTCCAAACAAAAATATATGGCGGGTTGCTACGGCTACTGCTCATGAACCCTGCAAATTTTCCCTCCAATATTGAAGATTGCCTGTTAAGGTATTCCTAATCTCATGTAGGCCAAGTCCCTTTAATGGTTTTGGGTGTTTTTATTCCTTGGGACTTTGAAGTCTTCAAGTTTCTACGGTTGGTGGCTAAAAGACTCTAGTAATAACGGCAAGTAGAGAGGTTCTGCCACTGAAAAAATCGATTTTGTATTATGTTTCCACAGCGACCGCTGGGATTAGACTAGGATGAGACTAGTAGTACAGACAAAAAACATCACTAAGTTACGAACATTTATAATACACGCTGTCAATGGGCACATTAGGTGTCACGGATTAGTCAGCGTTCACGTGACGACACAGACAATGCTTTTGTAAGGTGTCCGCAGCAGGACTACCTCATAGTTTGATTTGTACTTTCCTCTTCTTCTTCTTTTCTATCATCATTCATTTTGTCGTCGTCGATAGCGCAAATGAAATTCTCCCTCTGTCTATAAAACTAAGAATTTATTTATTTCATCGTGAAGCCGAACACAAAAGAGATAGAACACAATAAATAACCCGGCCAACAACGCTAAAGGTTGTAAACAAAAACTCTGTTTGGACGAAAGTTCCGAGTCGGTTCTAACCAAAACTATCACTGCCAGTAGGTCCTCATTTTAGTACTACGCCAACTCCGAAGGACAGAAAACTATGTAATGGCACTACCATAATACGTATTTTGTGCAAAACCTTGCCTGTATTTACACCCCTGTCTTAGTACACACTCTGTTCAACTTCCGTTGCAGAACCTCTCTAGTAGAGAAAGTACGTACATGTAACAACTAATTCTTGTACTAGTAGCGCAAAAGCACCCCGGCCCTAGACAGATTTACTATAGCTGAGGAAGCCTATACCCGGGGTGTCCGCGGCATTCAGTTTGGTAGTTACTAATACAATTAATTACTGCTTTTAGAAATTAAAATAAGAAATCCAATGCCAAGATATCTTAGATTAGCTCTATAATAGCTTTACTAATCTTAATCGGATAATAATACATGCTCCTGGAGAGAAAATTACCCAATTAGGCAATAAATAGAGGCGACATTGAGTGGGCTCCCCACTAAAAGTATACCAAGTTTAAAGATGAACTACACCTCAACCACAACACCTAAATTAATTATCTCTCTATAGAACTGTAGAGAACAAGCAGAAGAACTATTCTATAGGAAGAGAAATAATTTAGGGGTTGTGGTGGTCGAGGAGTTGGCGCTAGAAGTAAGGGCAAAAAGTGCACCGGATATAGGGTTCCCCAGCTGTACCGGGTGTTCACCTTTAGTCTCAAGAACTCTGATTTATTGGGTGAAAAATTCAGGGATGTGGGTGACATCAACCAATCATTACGAACCAAACCGGCCTTAGCGCCAAAAATTTGTATGGGGGAAAAAAGTCTCAAGAACTTTCAGTTGCCCTCCATTAAAAAATCTAAATATTTTTTTAAAAATACAAAAAAATAACTGCATAACAGCGCTTGCTCCCAGCTCCCCCTACATAATTTTTCGAGCCCTAGGCCCCTGTGGGGGAGCGTTTTTTGATAGAGCTGGGTGCAAACAACAGTCAAATCGGGGTCATGGAGGTCGCGTTGCAAAAGATGGGGGGTAGCCGATTCAAGTACTTTTTCTGGCGCCAAGTCCGATTTTTGGCGCCAAGCCTGGCTCCGACCAATCGCACCCGCAAAAAGATGTTCTCGAGACTAACCCATAACCCCCGGTACTTCTTGTCTTACAATCGTAGGCGCCACAATGTATCGATTGTGTCATCAATCAAGTATGTAGGTCGATTCCCAAGACCAACGACATCCTCTAAATTAGAAATTAGAATCTCCCCGTCCTTCAAGTTATTACCATCTCCCTCTTTCTGTCAGGCTCCTCTGATTTCCATTCGGTTACTCCACGCCGTCTACTGTTATCCAGACAGCCAAAAACAACATTATCGCGACACAAACATACATGTAAGTACATACCATCACTTGCATGTGGCTGCAAGCAAAAGTACCAACATTAATCTTACGATAACCGCTACGCTAGAAACTTTATTGCATTGGTTTCCCTTTTCTACCTCCACTTCACTCCTCAATTTGTTTCCTTGCGGGGGATTCAATGTCTTCGCTAAAGCCGCACCGTGCGCACTCGCAATTTTCCGAAGAAACGCCACTCCTCCGAAATGGTTCATCTGCGCTTTCAACTACGTACAATGGTGAAATATCGCCGTGTTTGCCTAATGACGGTCTCCCCAGCGTCTTTCATGCATCCTCCGAATCAACTCGTAGGCCTGCGAGCAGGCTCGCCCTAATTATCTTATGCACAAGCATCCTTACTATCCTATGTATCGGATTTTTCGTCCCCGCTGCTGCTTCGCAGTATGCCAAAGAGGCCCTCATTCTCGATATTTCAAGTCTCTCTATTGAAGGGTTTACGGATCGAGGGGTAAGAGCTCGTGTTCAGGCAAGAGTGACTTTGGACGCGGGCAGAGTCAGGAACAATGCAGTTCTAGCTCTTGGAAGAGTTGGAACATGGATCGTCCGGAGGGTCTCGAGCGAACATTCAAAAATGCATGTGTACCTCCCTGATTATGGCGAAGGTCTGTTGGGGACAGCAACCACGCCTGCAATGGAATTAGACATACGTAATGGTCAAATAACACTAATAGACTTTGTCTCCGAGGTTGAGACTGGGTCTCTTGATATTCTTCGGAGCGTGGTAAATGATTATCTCACGGGGAATATCAGATTGTTACGGGTTCGCGGAGAAGCAAACCTGGGTTTGAAGGCCGGTCTGTTTAACCTGGGAACACAAAAGATATCTGAGGAACTAGTCTTTGAAGGTTCTAAATTCGAGCTATGACCATTCTCTGAAAAATAGACTAACTCAATTGTTATAAATCAGAATTCCCATCTTTGCCTCAGTTCGAAGTCAAAAGATTAAATTTTGAGGAGATAATTCTCCCCAAACAAAGGGCTGTAAACGCCACTGCATCTATTACACTCAAGAATCCATACCCACTGCAGTTTGGGATTCCTTCAATATCCTTCAATATTCTCCTTCCAGGTTGTGATGAGCACAAATTAGTACATGTAGCTACAGCGAAGAGCTTGCCTCTTCATGTGGAGCCCCAGTCACACGTAGATGTGGAAATTTCCTCCATCATACACAACCTTCCTGGTACTTTTATCAATGCCTGTCCGGAATCACAGATATCTCCTATGGATAAATTTCTCGGCGCCTACCTCCATGGGGACGAAAATACTGTCTTTGTTCGGGGCAGTGATTCTTCAGGCCCGAATGTTCCCGGGTGGCTGCAAGAAATATTACAAAGTATTACCGTTCTTGTTCCATTCCAAGGACACGCATTCAACGACGCAGTAAAGTCATTCAGTTTGTCAAATGTCAGCTTCCAACTTCCAACACCAGATGCTGAACCTGGCTCCCCAGAGTCGTCTCCACGATTAGGCGCGTCGGTGGTTGCGATTGTTAGAACTCCGGAAGAAATAAACCTCTCGTTATATGTGAAACGACTTCGAGCAATAGCAAACGTTTCGTACGAAGGTGGGGTATTTGGAGCACTCGATCTTCGCAAATGGATGGTAGCGGAGTCCTCACGCTCTAGTGATAACAAATATCTCGAAGTTCATGCAGAGGTTAAGGATGCACCCTTGAACATAACGAATTATGATATATTCAGGGTAGTGGTTAAAAAGATGCTCTCAGGAGAGGAGAATTCTCTTCAACTTGGTATCAGAGGAGATACTGATGTTGATGTTAAAACAAGCTTGGGTGAATTTGTGGTTAGCAACATACCTGTAACGGGGAATATAACCATCGACCACTTTCCAGGATTTGGGTCTATGCCATCTCCAAAGGCTCGTAAGGTTGTAATCGAAGATACGGCGCCACACTCCGTTACCCTGCGCGTTGATCTAAGTATCAACAATCCCACCCCTTGGGGGGCTATAGTGCCATATATGAATGTTAACATTACACAAAATGATACTGTATTGGGGAATGCAAGCGTTCACGACGTACATATCTTACCTGGTAATAACCTTTTAACTGTATGGGCAATATGGGACCCAAGAACCCATGGGGGTAGTCAAGCAGGAAAAATAGGAGCCCATCTTCTCGGCGAATATATTTCTGGTAAGCATAGCCCACAGTGCATATGTTCTCTTTCATTAACTCAGCAATACCTTCTCTACCAGGCCAGAATACCACCATTACTATCCGCCCGCATGTGAAAAGCTTGCCATCTTTGCCACTATTGTCAGATGTACTATCAAACTTTGAACTTACGATTCCAACTCCTCGACTTGGTGGAATTGACGAACCTGATGGCAATACATCACCCCGCTTCATAGAATCTGCAACTGTAAGCGGTTTACCTTCCCCCGCAAAATCCAAACCTCGATTTAGCGACCTTCATGCCAAGTATCTAACTTGTTTCCTCCCTTAGATTCACGTACTTTCGTCAACCGCTGATTTTGTCATTGATAATCCTCTAAGAAACAATGCAATCACGATTAAGAAAATCAATGGAACAGCAAAGTATAATGGCAGTGATTTAGGTACAATATTATACGAGTGGCCGTTTAATATTTTGCCCGGTAAACAAGGAAAAACTTTGACGCCCAAGCTGCCAGTGGATTGGGGCCCAGATAATGTAGGGTACGGGGTGGTTAAGAAAGCACTACGTGGGCAACTGAAGGTACACGCAGAGGCCTTGTGCATGATTGGAATTGGGAATTTTTCGGTGGAGCTATTTTATAACGGAAGTAGGCCAATAGGGGCACACGTTGGATTTTAGGGAAAGTTCGTTGAACACACAATAAGTCATCGGTGTACTGTTACTATGATGTGGGGTTTCGTTTATTCACGGCGTTTGGAATAATTGTCACTTTGATATTGTTAGTTGCTGTGGTTTGTGTTATCAATATTCGTTTTGTACTCTATCTCTGTTGATATCAACTCAACAGTTGAATTAGCATGTGGAGACTGTTGTGAAAGCTAGTTATAATGTATCGAACTAGTAGGCTAGAGATCATTTACGTATATGGCCTGCTCTTGTGAGGAGAGCTTGTAGAATATAATATGTATAGCATATCGTTGTAGTTTTGTTCGTTGCGGTAGTATCGTGGGAAACTCCTCCCACAGCCCACATATATAGCCCTCTGAGTTCGGCGAAAAGTACATAGTTTGAGCTCGGCTTGAGGGGAAAGGCTCAAGCCGATTTAGGCTCGCTGAATGATGAGGCTCGCGCTCAACGAGCCGATAGCTAGAGCTGGGTAAAATAAATACCATGGTATTTGACCACCCACCTACCCCGCCCTGCGCCGAAAGCTGTGGGAGTTAAGGGCCAGGAGGGCGTGTTAGACTAATTAATGGGAAATCCGCTCAGGGTCTGAGCTTATCGAGACTACTACATGTACTTACCATGGTACTAACGTGACTCAATACACTCAATACCATACCTTCCTTTTGTTTTCCGGCACTGTGGCAGACAGGCCATTAAGAGGTCTTTCCGGCTCCATGTAGGTTTTGCGCCAAACGTCGCTCGAACACGGGACAGACTACATAAGGAATGCAGTACAATCTCGCTATAAGGATATGGAAATGTGACATAAATCGAGATATATCCTTATCGGGCCTATATCCTTACAGAAGAAGTGAGTGATAGTTCGTGACCCTTGGATAGGTGAACGCTGATGGATGGATGAAGGCGGGTAGGAGTCAGAATGGTTTCATAGTTTAATTAAAACGCTGAGTCTGAGAAGGTGGGAAAACCGGAATGAGCAAAGAATGGTGGAGCGAGCCTTCTTCATAGTTAAGAATATCAACCTAACCCTACTCCATCTATAGCGAAATATCTTTTATTTCCCGGCGCCCCGATGGCTATCCTTATAGACTAAGGCCGCATATCCAAGTACAGTTGCACCTCGCAGTCCCGTATGAAATTCCCTGAGAATTCTGCAAAATCAATTTGTTATCCCGGATTTCTTAGGAATATTTGCTATCCCGTACAAGATTTGGCGAATCTTGGCCATCCGGCATAGCGAGGTGGGACTATTGCAATGCAGCGTTATAAAGGCACATATTTCTAGAAGTGCATACCCTAAAGTAATATCATGGTATTTTTTATTATTATTATGTATTGAACCTGGATATATGTATGTAACTTACTACTATTCTTCCTATTAATATCAATCTAGACTATTATTATTGAAGGGATTAGGAGTTTGAAGTGATAGATCGTTTCACGAAGTCGTAATCATGAGCGATAGAATTAAAGCCTTCGATGATGGATTAAAATTGGACCGTTGTCCACTGCCAACGAAAGGGTGCTCAAGCCTGGCACTTCTGGTGCCGCAAGACACTATCTACCCTCGATGTATTATACCTGAAACCGTCACTTTCCCCCCGCAAAAGCCAACTTCGAAGCCTATGGATATTTGGAGGGTAACAACGGCCCAAGTAGGTCCAGACCGAGTTTAGAAATCATTTGTACGGTATGTAATTATATATACCCACTAGCAAAGTCCAAGGACTATTATGAAAGGGCCCATAAAAAGCGGCTATAGTATTATATCCACTTATAAAGTAGCGGCCTAAGACACAGTTTAGATCTGCTCTTAATCAGGCTAACACAAAAGCACAGGCTTAGAAGTCGATTTTTGTTAAAAAGAGGCAGTAATGGTTTAAGGGATATCAGATTCTAGACTCCCATCCCTCCCAACTTTAAGTAATTCAAGAGAAAACATTTAAATTTGAACGAACTTAAAGCGGGAGTGATGGAGATCATAATTCTCTGGCGGTCGAGAATGTTATCTCCCGGGTGGATGAATCCGGTGAAAGGTGTTTAGTACTATTCTATCAACAAAGAACCTACTTCTGAGGCACTATAAAGCACTATTCGAAGTTGAGTGGGTCGTTAGGATAATATCAGACAATATATGATTAGAGGCCTGGGATTATTTATTTTCGTTGGTAGGGACACCACGCACGAGCTGCATTTAGTATTTTCTTTTACATATCCAGCTATCTAGGGATATAATAGGAGAACATCTTAGCCGGGGGGGAGAGAGCTAGCATCAACAACATCACCGGCATCTTTAACGTCGAGATCCTCTGTGTGTGTGTGCAGAGGTGAGCGAGGAAGCGCCATGAGACCTGTACAAACGAAAGAAAGATTAGAATCCCGAATGGCGAAGGTTGGAGGAAGTGAGGTATACCAGTTCGAGCAGATTCAAGAATACCGAAAGGAGCGATAAGCTTCATGAACGCATCAAGCCTGGAGGGTTTCCCAGCACTGCCAATTTTGGATGTCAGCTTGCGACTTTCTTTCTATTCTAGATAGCTTGGGCCCAGAACTAACAGTTCAACAATACAATTGTTTTCAGATATATCTGAAATCTTGCCTCCAAACTGGTGAGTCAATTGTGTGATAGCCTGAAGATGCTGGTGTTTGTGCCTTAAAGCCTGGGAAATTGGAAGCTTCGAAGGATGATAATCACTATCCTTGTTCGAACTTTCAGCCCTTCCAGAGTCTCCACCCTCTGCTGTAATCTCCCGGTGATGTGCAAGTAGTTCTTCGAAATACTCTGGGCCTAATATAGAGATCTTGGCGAGCAAGAGCTCCCGCTGGACAAGAGGTGCTGCAGTGTAATCAAGCACTGCCCAGACAGGAACGAGATCTTCTAGTTGTCGTCTAGCCTGTTCAACAACACCATCAAGGCCACTAAGAACGATGGTCATGCGGGACAAGTCTGGTACTTCAGTGTTGCAGACCACCAATGAGTCAATATTGAAACCACGTGCCGCAAGGATTCCCGACACTCGAGAGAGAACGCCAGGTTCATTCTGAACAAGGCAATTGAGAACATGTCTTTTTGGCGGAGCGGAAGAGGGAAGTGGTGTCTCATAAAGAATTGAGGAAACGGCGGCGGAAGCAGACCAAGCGGGGGGCTCTGAGGTTGGGAGAGGGTTTATACGACGATGAAGAGCTTTATAGGCCAAAGCGCCCGTTGACGATCCGGAGGAGGATGACGATGACGAGTGACGAATTCGTACTGGGAGGCAGCGAGGGATGACGGCGAGAACATTACTGGCGACAGTGGTTGCAGCATATTTTTCCAATATAGTGGTTGGTAATCTGGCTGTGCGAAGGGTAGCAGCCATTGATGAAATCGAAGCCATTTTTGATGGACAGGTTCGAGAAGGGAGGGTCCTAAATTTCGGGGGTGCGGATGGTAAGTAAATACAGTAGAAAAGCGGCGCTCTTTGTGGGGAGGCATGCCAAGAAGAAGAAAAATAAGTCTTCTAGGTTAAAAATAGTGTAGAGTAAACCTTCATGGGTCGAGCCGAGATCCATGGGCCTGTCTTATAGGAAACTACATGTACAAGGCTCTGGCATTAAGTGAGTGAACTAAATGGGGTGTTGACTGGTGTGGATCCGTTCACTCACCTAATCCCAGAGCCTTGTACCGGGGGTTATGGGTTAGTCTGAAGAACCATTTTTGGCGTATGATTGGTTGAAGCTGCAGAAAATGATACTTGGCACCAGAAAAAGTACTTGAATAGGCGCCCTCCATCTTTTACAATGCAACCTCCGAGACTGCAATTTGACTGCTGTTTGCACCCAGTTTCATCAGAAAATACTCCCCACAAGGGCTTATGAGCTCAAAATACTATTTAGAGGAAGCTGGGAGCCAGCGCTATTTTGCAGTTATTTTTTTGTATTTTTAGCAAAATATTTTGATTTTTGAGTGAAGATATATGAAAGTTCTTCAGACTTTTTTCCCCCATACAAATTTAGTGCGCTAAGGCCAGACCTGGCCGGTGTGATCGATGATAATTGGTGGCTCCCATATAAAATCCCTGCATTTTCAACCAATGAAGCAGAGTTCTTCAGACTAAGGGTGAACACCCGGTACATACCGCCAAAACTCGAAAAATTGGCTATCTCCGTCCAGGGACTACCGCTTGAATGATTGGTTGGATGGCATCGATCAACATCAGAAGTTTCCCATACAAGTAATTCTGATCTAGCTAATTTTTCGAGTTATGGCGGTACCTACAATACTGTACGTATTTTGAAAGATGTGGCACATACAGTCGCAACCTGATATGCCGGAACTCAATGCACCGGATCCCTTGAGACTATTAATTTTCCTACTGCAAAATCAATTTGCTATCCCGGATTTCCTTACGAATCCTTAAAATCTTGGCAATCCGGCATACCGAGTTGCGACTGTAGTCTGAATAAGGGTTAGGTTTCAATCCCAGCACTAGCCAGCCCGATATTTCAGTTACCCTACTAAGGAGTTCGTGAAAATAAGCGTTGCAACGGGGCGACTTTTGACGACATTTACTGAACGCCTGAGTACACGTGAATTGAATGTAGTCACAATCTAGACGCTATTTACTTATATGTACACAAAAATACCCATATGTAGGCACATGTAGGCACATGTAGTTCTCTTCATCTTTTTCAGTATGTACCACATGTCCAGTATCTACTCTAACATTGCCCTGCCCAGGGGTTTACTAAGTACATGTAGGTATGTGCATACATGTACTTCACACTTATACCGCGCTAGTGGTGGTTGACCAATGGTTGAATTTATGTCTTTCGTCCTTTGACATTTCATGCTCTCCTCCTCTTCTGCAACCACCACCACCACCACTACAACGCTCACCTTCTCGATCGACGTACTCCAACCCACGTTTTCTCGCGCCCTCTTAAGCCCCATCATTTTTTCCACGAGCTCTACTCATATATTTGATATTCATTTGCTCTGCCCCCTTCTATCCTATACGTACACAGACCGTTTCCCTGATACCAACCACGAACCGCGTTTTCCACCCAATCCAAAGGCTTAACTTTACCGGTACACCCCAGAAGTAGTTTCAATGACAGATGATTCTCCAGACCGCAGGAAGAGAAGCAAGTGGGACGAGACTCAGAGATCCAGCTCTAGTAGGGACAGAGTTGGTCACCATGGAGACCACCGGCCAGACGAAAGGGAAAGGTCTGTGAGCGGTCGTGGGGGATCTCGCTGGGACGACAGGCGTTCCCGTTCCCCGGCCTCGAACCCTTACACGTCTCGCCGAGAGGACCGCAGAGATGAGCGCCGGCGAAGTCGCAGTCCTCCCCCCACTCGTGATGCCACAAGCCCAAGCAGCAAATCTCCCGCCAAACCCGACCCTGCAGCTGCTGCTGGTATGCGCAGCAATTTCGAACTCGAATTCAAGCCTATGCTAATATATATATGTATCTAGCTGCCGCCGCCGCTCGTATTAATGCTTCAATTCAAGCCAAGCGGGGCATTCAGCACGTTGATGTCCCTCCAATTAGATCAGTACGGGCCGGCCACGTCTTTCCTTCCCATTCATCTCATCTCCTGAGTTCTAACCACGTTTACTTTAGCAGCAAAATGCTGGGAAATCGTCTAGCCCTCCTAGCACAACAACTTTCAACAGTGATATGTACATTGCCGATGGAGATTATATCAAAGACATAGAGGTTAATGACTTGCGCAATCGCTATACGCTGACAAAGGGTGCTACTCAGAAAATGGTAAACACTGATCCCCCCCAGGTTGTCCATTAGCTTTCGCTATTTCTGCTCATTTCATCTATCCTCCCCATCCACCCCCCTCAATTTTAATGAAAAGCGGTTACCATGGGGTTTTGCTTATGTATAGCTCAGCTTGGAGGAATCACGCAAAGCTGAAACAAGCATTGTGCAAGCAGTTTTGTGTAAACCCTTTTGTGTCTTGCCGCTGACTGTCATCCGTGCCTGTTTAGATAAAAGAAGAGACTGGCGCGGGTACGCCCCACTATCCCATTGTTGTATATTTACATCTTATTTCAGATTTGCTTGCTCATATTTTTTGGATATTCAAGATGTCACCACCCGCGGAGCGTATTATCCGGATAAAACTATGGCTACGCCACAGGCATGTTTATTCTTTCTAAAAAATTCCAGTTCTCTTGCTGATGATAACTGGGATACAGAACCCGCCCTTATATCTTCACATTACTAGCACGACGAAGGAAGGGTTGGAGAAGGCAGTCCTCAAGATTGAAGAATTAATGAAACAGGACCTTCCAAACCTTGTTGACGAGCGCCGATTCAAGCGAAGGGAACCACCAGAACCTGTTGAACGCGATGAGTACGGAAGGGTTAGTTCGGGGATATTTTTGTTTTCTGAGAAATTCTGCTGACGAAACGGGAACGGAAGCGTAAATGGCCCGAGGAAAGAATTCCTGTCGACTTAGAGCCTATTCCTGGATTTAACTTACGTGCAGCCGTCGTTGGCCACGGCGGGCAGTACGTCAAGCATATACAGCAAGAAACACGTTGCCGTGTTCAAATTAAGGGCCGTGGATCTGGCTTTATGGAACACGGCCTTGGCCAGGAGAGTGATGAACCCCTTTATCTTCACGTGACGTAAGAAAGCTCTATACAATGGTACTGATAACCTACTAATCGTGTATTAGTGGCCCTGACGCCCGCGAGGTCCAGAACGCCAAGGGTCTTTGCGAAGACCTTTTAACAGCTGTAAAACAACAGTATGAAGAGCACAAGAGCCAACCACAGCCAGCTCGTTTCCCCGGCTATGGCGGAAACAACTCACATGTTTATGTTCCATCTATGCCGAACAACCAGGGGCAAAGTCAAAACCACACTCAAGGTCACGGCCACGGCCACGGCCACGGCCACGGGCATGGCCATGGGCAAGGGCAAGGGCACGGGCAGAGTCATGGTCAGTCAGCATCGCCACCTCCAGCCCAGCAGTCTACACAACCAGTAGCCCAAGGAGTGCCAGGTGCTGCAGCAGTAGCTCCAGGAGCTAATCCATATGCTGCTTACTATGGAGGCGGGGCCGATCCTTACGGAGCGTTTGGGGGATATCAGGCGTATATGCAATACTGTGAGTATTACTAACCCCGATGTTCTATACAATCACTAATGTGGTTGACACCCAAGACCAAGCGTATTATGGTCAGCAGCAGCAGCAAGCCCCAGGAGCCTCCCCTTATCAGACAATGACCTCTGTAAGCTCGCCGCCACCACCGCCACCACCATCTAGCAACCCACCGCCGCCACCACCGCCGCCACCTTCTTACAATGCTGTTAGGCCCCCTGGCGTCTGAACTCTAGTTTTGTCTACTCTCTGCCTTCTGTAAGGGGCTATTTTCGATAAAGTATTTTCGCGCTACTCCCAAACATACCTCTTTTTTTCTTCCATCGAATCCCGGATCTCTTCGTTACAATGTCTTTTGTATACCTGATTGAAAAAAAAAAAAAATTGCAGAGCGAATCGTTCTATTGGTTATAGCGTGTTCTTGTTCTCATCCATCAAGCTCTTTTGATACAGTATCTGGTGTTAAGAGTTTGACAGTGACTCTTAAATAGAAATGGATCTGGGTATTAAATTCATTGCGGATGCATACTAATTATTCTAATGGGGAAAAGGGTAAAATGGAATCGATATTACTCCTATAGCCTCGTGTGATTTTCATACCAAGAACATTGTTAAAATGGGGGGTAAACTATGAAGAGGAAGATGACGGGTTCTGGTTTAACAAGGCATGTTCAATCGCTTTGGTTCGAGGTACAGCTTCCATGCCTGCTGCGACTGCTTCTGATCTCTGGCGTAGTTTGTTGGAGGCTAGCAGAAGAGTCTCTAACATTTTCTTTTTCATTCATCATTTAGCGTCATTATGCTATTCTCCTCTATACAGTTTGGGAGGTGTGTAGCATAACAAACCTTCGTGTTTGAGCTTGCTAGGTGTTCTGCACTAGATGTGCTTGTTGCCGCTTTGACAATTCTCTGGAATGCGACAATACAAGTTGATCTTGTTAGCCTTAGAGGATCGAATAATAGAGATGCTGAACAGACAGTTATCCTTACATCATCACCTAGCTGAATGTTAACTTGCGACATGAGAAATTTCTTCCCCCCGCCTATGATTGTTTTGGTGGCAAGGAGGTCAGGGTCCGCAATCCAAGGGCAGGGTAACCACCTCGTGATGTTAAGCATGCCGCATAAATACATACATGTATTCAAGGGAGGGTGAACCTATTAAGGAGATCAAGAAAATGTATTCGATGTAATTATGATACAGCTCAGTGATGAGTGTTTGGAAGGGAAAAAAAAATACAAAGCTGAACTGTTAACGCCCAAAATTCACCGACAGGCCCTATAGAAGACAATTGTGACCACATGTATATTCCTCCTGCCAGCGCCATAAGAAAGAAATAAAAGACATGAAGCAGAAGCGGAGAAACTGGAACGAATTATCCGTCTTTCAAAACATACTCATAATACTCGCACGGCGTGGGATAAAAGCTTCTTATAAAAAATGACCACCATATAGATAGCTATCCCCCACCCGTGTATTTGGCAAGCTCATACTAGAATCTGCTCAAGGAGAATGAGATTCGGCACACCTATGGTGCTGGGTTTTCCTGAAATCTAGAGTTAGAAGAGAAAAATTATTGGATTCTAGTCAGATTGGTTCGTGAACATACCCTAACAATATACTTGATTTTCTTATCGTAAGCAGCTCTATCTTTCCTAAAAAGATTATAGGCGTCTGCCTGAGCTGGGGATTCGGGATTTGGATCATCGAGAAGGTCTTGAATACCGAGGAGAATTTGTTTGATGGTGATGGCAGGCTTCCAGCCTTCTTCCTCGTTAAGTATGCTCAGGCACACAGTGCCTGAGGGATAGACGTTTGGGTGAAAAAGTGGAGGAACGAATTTACCTATATCAAATGAAAGGGTTAGCCGGAGAATCCAAATCATCGGATAGAGTGAGTGCCTACACTTTGGTGGCTTAGTAGGATATTCTGTTGCCCAAGCAATTAGTTATTATGGCTTTCTATCACGAGTCTCTCTTCACCTAATCGATGAGCTGAACTGTACCTTCCGGGAATATCATGTCAAGCTTGAAAAGTCCTCCTTCCCATATAGTCTTCTCCTTTCCAGGGACACCACAGCTCCACTTCATGAGGTCGAGTCCGCCGTTTGGACTCTTCGCAGGCTTGGCGAAGAATCCGAACGGATGGTCCTTACGCCATTGCTTCCTGGGGGTTAGAAAACATCATGTTAATACCAGGCAGAGCTGAAAAGGGTCCGAAGGGACCAAGATGCAGATAGTTAGATTATATACCTTTCTTCTTGTAGCCGATTGACACAAAGCGACATGATGGGATTGCTGAGAATACAGGTAAAAAGCGAGGCAGTAGTATTCAACGAAAACTAAGGGTTGTAATCAATACCCTACAGAGCAACCTGAATGTTTTTAAAGGCAATGAGGGTAGCGCTGGGAGTGGTGCTAGGGGATGCAGCTGTTGGTGTCGGAGTAGGTGCTCACTTCTTTCTCCCTCACGTCCTGAACCTCAAGGGTGACAGTTCCTGCTACAACTGACCTGATACATATTTCAAAATTAAAATACATAAAATAATGCTCTCATCTTTTTATAGTGATACCAAACAGTATTCATGACCTCATAGAAACTTCAGTGCTCTTATTAAAAATATTCATGCACAGCATATTTCTGACAATTGTAAACAGTCATGTGGCTTGAGACTAATGGTGAGGCGGTGCTAGGGTGTTAAAATATACATGTATCTACGTGTAGTTCTCTAATACATGTATACATGTAATTCTAGAGTATATAGCTAAGTATATGTTTAGTTATTATTATCCCATCGTTTTTAGCAAATTTTCAAAATTAAATATTTATTAAATGAATAGACGCCTTCCCGGGCCACTCGAACACCCCCCTCACTCGAACAGTTAACTTAAAAAAGAAAATATCTGCGCTGTAACCGGTTTCTGTACCTCTTGAATTGGGCTTCTCCACCAATAAGCATCAACTGTTCGAGTGAGGGGGGTGTTCGAATGGCCCGGGAAGGCGTCTATAAGGAGGACATTATCCACTTTTATAAAGAGCCTCACTACAAGTAGGTACAGAACCGCAGTATGCCAGTGGTGGGCAGTGGCACCAGGATAACTTGCCCACACATGTATTTATGTAGCTTTCTTAACCAGCCAATAAAAATGGTTTGCTTACATGGTCAGTGCGGGATTTGGCGCATATTATATATCTTCACTACATACATATAGGTAACGTTATAACTTTAATTCCTCTGCAAATCAATATACTACGGTACACTTCCGGGAGTACAGATTAAGTTCCAAAGTTTCTAATAGACTACGTCCATGTGTTTCGTGGTCCGCACTACCTACTCCAAGTTTCCTCGCCCGGACTAGTGGGCCCTGTTTTGATATCGCAGCGCCTTTGGCACAATTATGAGCGGGCATACTATTTTTCTTGAGTACAGGACAAAACGAAGTAAAATTAAGGAACATTGCACGAATTGTTTTCACGCAATCTTTGGACTACTAGTGCCTCACTTCGTACCTCTGTTCATACGCACTCCGCTTGCAAAACCGCTGTACTATCCAAATTATGTTATTACTCAAGTCAAACGTGACCTTCAACCCAAGAACGATCTATGTACTAGCGATGCTGGTAATTCTATGGGTCATGTGACTCGTTATTCTCAGGAAGCTTCGCGACTTATATGGGTCACATGATCTTTGGCATTATCGACAAAGGACATGGAGATTAGTAACCAGAAACTTGCATGTGACAGATGGGCCAAGGTTTCGTACCTCCAGGTCCCCTGCAACGGTGCGCAGTATTAACAACGGGGACTGCACCACATCGTTTCTTGTTCCTCATCCACAACGTATTTTTCCTCGTATCCCTTATAATCATCATGGAGCCTCAAAAGTCAGCCGGAGTGTCTTCTGAGAAGTTGGAACGAAGTCTTGAAAAAAAGCCTGAAATGACCCCTCCGACTCCTACCGTAGAGGAAGATTCTGATGATGACGATGAACTGGATGGTGAGATTCTCCCCATAAGCGGGTATAGGGACGGTTCGACTTATCTCATATACCTTACTGTATAGATTTTCTCGACGATTTCGAAACTCCTTCTATCCCAGCGACCCAGATGAGAGCGGTTAAAACTGAAGGCCAAGGTGCACCCCAGACTGATAATGGGCAACCATCGTCCCTTGACGATGATTTTGCTCGCCAGTTACAGCTCGGAATGCAAGACTTGCTGGGCGAAATACAGGACTCAGTATGTAGTCTTTATGTGTTTAAATATCGAATTCCGAAAGCACCTGTATTTTTAGGTTAACATGGTGTTCTCAGAAAGAGCTACAAGACCAATTTGAACACCTTGTAAAAGAGCTTAACGACGCCGCTACGGGAGGAAAGGCTACAACTTCGTCATCTTCCGCTCCAAAACCATTAAAAGCTCCTGCAAACTTTCAAGATCGCATTAAACAGACAATGGAGAGAATGAAATCGTCGGAAGCTGAGGTTGATGCTGCAGTAGCCGATTCTGAAGGAGACGATTTCCTCGCGGAGATGTTAAAGCAGATGCAAAGTGCCGGCGGGGATGGGGAAAGCGATGAGGATTTTTCAAAAATGTTGTTGACTATGATGGAGCAGCTGACCAGCAAGGAGATCCTCTACGAACCTATGCGGGAGTTGGCCGACAAGTACCCAGAATGGCTACGAAAGAATGAAGGAAAGGAGCCGAGCGAAGATATCGAGCGATACAGAGATCAATATCTAGTTGTTAAGGAGATTGTTGCCAAATTTGAGGAACCGGCTTATCGTGATGAAAATGATAAAGATAGAGACTACATTATCGACCGGATGCAGAAGGTTTGTGCTCTCACCTCCTTTACTTTCAATCTAATGATTTGACCACAGATGCAAGCTGCGGGAGCGCCACCCACGGAGCTGATGGGGGAAATGGGCCAAGGTCTTGATCTTCCCTCGGATATGGATTCAAATTGCACTATTTCATGAGGATAGTTATAGGGCACAACAAACAAAATCAAGACAGTTTGTTTGTAAACTATGAGTCGTACGTATATCAAGAAACCAGTGCGCGATACAAGCTTTAATGATTGTATTTTGGGAATAAAGCGGCGCAGGAAACAAACTTATTTGGGATAATATTGTGTTGTGCAGGTTTCGAAACCTCACATCTCACAAAAGCCTAAAGGCTCAATTCGGTGACTACACCAACCCGATGGATACAGATATAGACGAGAATGAAGCAAAGGGAATCGCAGGACCATTTATCCATACGCCTCAAGTAAAGAGAGAGAAAAAGCAAGAAAAATACAAATACTCTAAAATACCAAGTAAACACAATGTACAATTAATATCAGGATGCCGAGCCCACTCCTATAATTAGAGTTCAAGTAACAGAGGATGACAATGTTACGTTAACTCGATCATGCTCTTTGATGGAATCGTCAATAACGGCATGATCAAAGTCTAGATCCAACTGAGAAAGCATATCCTCGAGCTCTTCTCCCTCACGCTCGATTAGCTGGTCGAAATCATCATCCTCATCGATACCTGTAATTTCAAATTAATATGAAGGTATAAGATCTAGACTTGTTATCATAATGGTTTATACCGGAAGCGTGATATGGGAGTTCATAATCCTGTGTCTCCTCAACTTCAAACTCCTCTTCCTCATATATTGTTGATATTGTTGCAGCAGCTCTAGCTTGTGTCGCTTCCCACCTCTTCTGTTCAGACACAAATATTAAACGCATCATCTATGCCAAGACTTATTAGAGAAGGGTTCAGAAATTGCCTGTGAAGAACAAGATATGACAAGACAGAGAAGAGTATTAGATGTTACCTCATCTTCTCCGCCCCTTGATTTTATGATCTTATCCTCGCGCCCTCTTCTGACTTTTTTCAAAAACAAATTATGCCGCGTCTCACGTCCTTTCTCACGGGAGACAAATATAGGTACCGGCTTAAAAAGCCGTTTTGGTGCGAGAAAATCCGGGGATGAAGGCGGCGATGGGAGCATCTTGGGAATAAACATCCCACTGATAGTATTTTGAGGGCGTGAGGATAAGGGTGAAGATCGGGAGGGGGTAAATAGGAGTGGTATGGCGGGGCTTTTACAAGGAGTGGTAGGCGTAAGAATAATGTTTGATCCGTGAGTGAAATCCACGGTAGGGGCCATTTTGGGGGGGATTGGGTGACTTTGATGTAGTAACGGTGGAGATGGTAGCGGTATCAGTTTTAATTGTAGGGTACATGTACTTCTAGGTGAAATAGTGTAACGGGCTAAGGGAAAGGAATGAAAGGACGCGTTAAGGAACGCGAACTACTAGTCGCGTGTAAAGGTTATTACTAAGCGGAAGTGCATACATGTACTCAGACCAGAACTGTGCTGCGCTTAGTATAAGTCAAGTCTTTTCCTAGCCATTCATCGAAGGTGACTTTGAAATAGAAAGTTTAGTAAGCCTAAGATTTCTGGTAAAACGATCAGAGCAAAAAGAGATTAACTCTTCTAGCTCACTCCCAAACTGGTGGGATCGAGCCATTTACTACATCTAGTGCTCTAATCAACTGTGATAATTAAATATGCTCTATTAATTCCCCGATTGAGCTTGAACTATTGATTACATTTCTTAGATGATTATTTGCTTAGATACACCTGCTAGTCAAACTTGTGATAGAATTGAAAAATTATAATTGGCAAATTTACTATCAAAATGAAGTCACTGAAATTGTTGAAGTTACAACTAAAAACTGAATAAAAAATAAGCAAATCTGATAATAAATCAAAATTATAACAATTGCCGCAGGAAAAAATATATTATTCAGCCTATGTTAAAACTTTCTTACTAAATCAAAATTTATTTACGTTATTAGCTCGTTTGATAAATTTAAATTGATGAACTCTTACTTACCGTTTATAGGAACTTTTGATATTTTGTTCAATTATTATGTATATATAGATACAATTGGTTTTCAGCCTTCGACCACTTAGGAAAATGAAATCAACTAATTTCGTCCAAATATGATAGGTCATTTTGGAAATATAATATATTAACAGAAACTAATATATTATATGTATTTTAAACTCACGTATGACTAGCCAACTGAATTGTTAGGTGGAGATTCCCAGATCGCTTCCAACTACACCGTCAGCTCCACAACTGGCAATACTCCAAGTTCTAAGTCAACTTTCATCTCTACCTCTACCTGTACCCCCTCCTCCGACTCTCCTACCTGCTTTTATATTGATATATATATCAGGAACCCGTGCATGTATTCAGGAGATACGGGAGCCTGAGGCTTGGGAGACACCCCAACAACTTTAATTCTCTGTAAGCGGTTAGCCCGTTCAGAGGCCTCTCGGGCCTTCGCTAATGCTCAGGAGGCTCTTGCGATGCTCAAGCATACCCGTTCAGCACTCTTCAGAGCCTGCATTCATCATATACAGTTAAACACTCGAGGCTTCGTAACGCCGATACGATTGCTTCCTGTGCATTTCAAACGCTCCGGGAGATTCGATATCACTGCATCGAATCTGTAGAGATCCTCTGGAGCACGATTCTTGCCTACAGCTCCCCGAACGGGTTTCTTCATTTAGTTTAGTATCGCGAAACTTCAAGGGGTTGTCCCAACCTACTAGAAAACCTTTTAGAAGACTTACCGAACCTCACACTTATTACCACAAGATTACTAGAACGAGTCAAGATCGCGATTCATACTCTCACGCTCTCTCCTGAGGGCTTATCAGGGCAACTATTGATTTCCTGTTGCTTTTCCTCGCCCGGTCACTTTCTCCCATGCTCTCCAGAGGGACCACTAATCACTAATGTGTTATTATGAGCTAGTTAAATCCATGCCCCACCCTCCCATGCTCTCCAGAGGACCTACCAAGCCTTCTTATGGTCTCCCGACCCTATTCTTGGTACTGACACTATCTCTTAAGGTCTCCTGGGCCTCGTCAAATTATCAAACTTCTCCCCTGTCAAAGCATCGTCAGAGGCATTTGTCGAGGCTTCTTGAGCCTTTGCAGCGCCCAAATCCCTCCCCGTCGCCACCTGATTTTCTGAGGTATCATCAGTCCTCAAAAAATATAGCTCGGTCCTACTGAGCCTTCCGGGAAGCTTTAACGTCCTTCCATGCCGCGATGTCTGCTGCCAACTGCACATCGTTCTCTTCCATTCCAACCTTGGATATCACCTCTCGTGTGACTCATAACTCCTCAATATACAGGCTTATCAGTCTCAGTCAATTGAATTCGCATCTTAGGTTCTATATCTTATCTTGAATGTACTCTCTTATTACATACAGAGTCCCCAGCTGATTTTCCTCTGTTCTTCTTCTCCACGTGTTGAATATTCTGGTGTACGTTACTAGGCAAAAGTTAGTATGTCGGGACTCCTAAAGAACTTGATAAACCTTACACAGGATATCGGTATTCTGGCTGCGGTTAAAGTGCATTCGTTTCACATAATTGCCCATTGTCCAAAATCGCAAAACAAACCAATTAGCAGTGCAAACTAGACAGATGAATTCCGGGGATATATCATCTACGAATTTAGGCTTCTTCGCTCCACGCATCTTGTCACCTTTGTAATATTTTAGAAATATTACTTGTACAATATCTGGGGCCCAAAAGTGTTCATGACCTGTCTAATAGCTGTTAGACCCTTATATAGGCTGCTTGAGCCTTTGAAATTGCCTATAAAGCCCCATAGCACGTTGAAAGGAGCTCTTACGGGATAGTTGTCAGGGTCACTAATGAAACGATCATTCTCGACTAGATGGTTAACTTTGTCAGCTCTCGTCTCTGGGGTTGTTAGGTCCTTCAAGTCATATAAGAGGCCTTTTGCGACAAAGTCTTTGATTGCAAACACAAGGTGCGATCTCACCCGTAAACTTGCGATTTGAACCTATGAATAATTAACACAAAACTAACAAGCCTACTAGGAGGCTTGATCAGCTCTTACCGCACTCTTCGCGCTGTCAATTAGGATTATATTTGTATTAAAATGAACGTTCGCCTCCGACCAAAATCGCTGGACTTTAACGGTAAGAGATTCAGGCGTTGGCCAAGGATCCTCAAGTAATGTATGCCGCGAGAGAAGTTCCTTAGCATACCTGATAATCGGCTTTGCCTCCGCTGGCACGTGCCCCCTGTCAGAGCTGTAAACTGACTCTGGCGCTGGTGTGGTACATGCTTGCGTGTGTGGGGTTGCACAATAGTGCTGAGAAGGCGGAGGTGTACGTTCAATGTAATGTTCATTTCGCAATATACTAGACGAGTGAAATGAGGTGCTTGGTGATGTAGACGCGGGCTCGGAAGCTGTGGAAGCCCTGCTCATGGCTCGGGAGGGAGTTCCCGACCTTTTTGAAGTAACCATCGTACGGCTTCCATACTGCCTGGTGTTATCACCTTATCCGCAACCTATGGGTTGTGGTTAATACCTATACTGTATTAACTCCTACGGAAGATGAAACAATTGCTTCAGCTGCTGTGCAACTAATTCTTCTCCTAGAGGCTGCAATAGCCCTAGCGGAGGCTACGGGAGCCTCCCTTGGCCTCTTACCAGCACGAATTCCCTGGCTGTGTACTGACGGTGCCCGTGGTGGTGGTACCCATGGTGGTGGTGCCTGTATAAGCCGTGCTCGTATTGGTGGAGGTGGTGGAGACACCATTCGTTCAGATAAGGGCATCACGGGTAGGGTATTTTTGTCCCCGCGCTCTTCATAGTCGTTATAATCGTCCTCATAGACATCTACCTCATCCTCCTCCGCAACTGGGTAACCATCGAAGTCAATCCATGGCTGTGGGCTTTCTAAAACGTTGTTTACCAATATTTAGCCACCGGGCGAGCTCAATGGGCCATCTAGATAGCCTGAGGGGCCATGAAAGGAATCTTGGTTGGTATCCAGCTCTGTAGGTGATCCCGTCCTCACACTGCTAGCGACACTTGAAACACTCATCGCCTCCCTAAGCCGTTTATTAACGGAGGTGGAGATAGTAGTATTGGTTGTACCATATCGATCGTCAATGGCACGTTAGGCGGTCCTTTGCCTTTGGGAAGTCATGATAATGTTTGTAAGGAAAAGAATGGTGAAGTAGGCACTGGAGAATGCTTCTGAGGCTCACTATTAATACAGTATGCTTAGCAACCTCTAATATTCTTTTTTTTTCTCTTAGTTGGCTAGGCTATATAGAGTCATCCAAATGCTTGGCGAGCAAAAAGCTCTGAATTTTCTTGGGCTGAGCTATACCACTTATAGTCACCCGCCTATCGTCTAAAGGTTTAGGAAGACTTTTGACCCGGCAGTGAACAAAACGCGGTAGGAAACACAAATCTTATAAGTAATAATAAATGCTAAAATGAGGCGACTAACACTAAAACAGATAAGAAAGTCTAAAAAAGCAGCTGCACCAGAAATAGAAAAAGAAAAAAACTGCCTAACAAGCTTTGAAGAAGGCTTCTCAAGCCTTCTCTAGCCGAAAATCCGTGTAGCGCTCTCACCAAATAGATAAGGTAAGCTAATTCCAAAACAGATATAAAAAGCCTAAAAAGACAACTACACTTACCAGATACGGAACTTAGCTAACAAAAAAGATAAAAACAGATCAACAAACCAATGATCCCCCAAGAAGGCTCTTCGAGCCTTTCAAATAGCTTAAAATGCCGCCCCTAGCTAGCATTAACAGTTACCGTCATCGTCATCCTCATCGTCGTTGCATTCTACTTGTAACGGGGGCAGACTATCCATGTATCGCTAGAATCCAATAGAATAGATGTGGCCGTGCAAGATAGAAATCAGGTGCAGATTTATTCAAAGATACTATCGCTAGAACTCAATAATCTTTAAGGGCTCTGCTACCGATAATTTCTAGGTTCAGATGAAGATGAGGATGAGGATCCGGACAGTTGGGCGGGAATGATCCTGAGTACTTATACTCCAAAGGACTCTATTCTCTGCTCCTACTTCCTTACTAAGTTCCAGTGTTGCCTCTTAGCGGAAAGGAAGCAATACCATCGCTACCCCGCTTCTCTCTAAGCGTCAGCGAGTTCTTCCGGTTCCGAAGGCAACCACCCTTAGTCAAAGCCTTTGTAACACCTGCAGTCTTTGTTGCCACACAACTGGGGCCTGCATGAATGAGCTGCCGCTCAGGTGTAAGCTTAATCATTGCTGTAGAGCTTTCGCTTATTGTAGACTTTCTAGGCATAATCCCTTCCGTTACCGGCGGACTTCCAATGGTCAGAGGATGTAGAGGATCGCCGAGCACTCAGAGCTTCACTCTGGCTGGCCTTCTAATCATTGGCGAGGCACAGACTCGTCAGTCATTGCTCCCATGAATAGATTCTTTTCCTAGCGCTCAGAATGTAGTTACTCTGACAACTGGTAGCTAACCACACTGCCGGTACTTGCATGTCACTGTGCAACTGGCTTCTAACAATAACTCTCAGCATGTAACCGGGCCCTGTGTGTACTCATACACCAGACAGTTGAAATGGCTCCGTTACACTACTCCCCTCTTCCAGGATCTTGGTCTCCGAGATCTATAATCTGTATCTATTTATCTATGCAATACTATATGACAAGGAAACTCCTTTGGTGTGGAAGGGGACGAGAATGTTAAAGGAGATGCTACTGGCCTTGAGCCCTCTTGTCTCTGGGCTTCTTGGGATACCTCATATGGAAATCTCGGAGGGCTTCTTCAGCACTCTTTCTGAGATGCTCCCAGGGTTCCCATGTAGCATCCTCATTCTCATAACCTTCCCATAACACCAAGTATTCCACCCTTCTCCTCTTCTTATTGACTCGGCTATCGGCTACTTCCCGGACGATCCAGTTCTGTTCTCCTGCAATTTCCTCAGGTTCCGGTGGAGGAACTCTTCTCTCAGGGTCTAATAGCGCTCTGTAGGGTTCCAGGAGAGAGACATGGAAGACAGGGTGGATTCCCATTTGCGGGGGAAGAGAGAGCTTGTAGGCACGGGTACCAATAGCTTCTAAGACCTTGAAAGGTCTCATCTTCTTCTGATCCAATTTTCCCAATGGCCGCTTTGTTTGCACATTGCGCCGGTCTAGCATAACTTCATCTCCGGGCTTAATTTCAGGCGGTGCCAGGGCATGTGCATCATACCACCGGGCCATCCTTAGTCTAGCCTTTCCCAAGCTTGCATTCATAGCCTGCCAGATAGATTCCCATTGAGATACCATGACCTCGCTTGCTGGATTGTTCCATTCAACACCTTCCTTTGGGACCGGCCAATTGGTCCTGGGTTCATATCCATAGTTGGCATAGAAAGCCGCCGCTTTGGTGGACTCAGAGACCGCTGAGTTGTATGCATACTCTGCCAAAGGCAAGAGGTCCGCCCAGTCATCCTGTTGATATGAACAATAACTCCGCAAGTAATGTTCCAGGGTCTGGTTAACTCTTTCTGTCTGGCCGTCCGTTTGGGGGTGGAAAGAAGTAGACATCTTCAGCTTCACATTGAGGAGGCTCATGAGAGATTGCCAAAAGTGAGAGATGAACCTGCTATCTCTGTCCGAGACTATGTCATCAGGTAACCCATGGTGTAACGGGGGTCTATGAACGTAGGGACTATAGTGCCAAGGAATACAACCGAGGCGAGGACGTGGCAATAGGTATTCAGGACTATGGGCTATGGAGTGGCTCTACCTAGTATGACAACTAGTTGAACCCTATTACGAGGCGTAGAACAAAAGCAGTATTCGTTGAGGTAGATACAGCAGGTTCCGTGAAGAGAAGAGGAAAGGAAGGAAAACATGAAAAGGCACGAGACAACCCCCCCTTATATATCCAACTCCTAGTCCGTTGATGACTAATTTCTTGCGTAACAGAAACCGAAAGAACATAACAGAAAACCCATTACAAATCATAGTCCAACTGCACGATTCCTCCTCTTCACAACCCAATCTATCACCTTAGCCGAAATATAATATTGCCGTTACAGACTACGCCCCCCTCTAAGGCTTACCTCCTGGTAGGCTTAGGTTTCCGTGGATAGCGTTCATGGAACCGTCGAACAATATCAGGTGAATGCTCAAGGTCCGATAGCGGTTGCCAAGAGGCATAATCATATCCAGTGTATCGTACCAGATACTCAAAGCCACCCCTTCGTTTCCTAGAGTCCACAATATCCTCGACTTCCCATTCTTCCTCCCCTTCGATCGCAACAGGAGGTGGTGGTGACTGTTGTTGACCAGGTAATGGATTACCCGCTTCAGGTGATAACAATGAAACGTGGAATACCGGATGGATCTTCATAGAGCGGGGAAGCTCTAGCTCATAAGCATAGGGGTTGACGATTCGTTTGATGCTGTAAGGACCAATCCGTTTCCAATCAAACTTCTTGGAGGGTCGCTTTGTTAGAAGGTGGCGGGTCGACAAGAAAACTTTATCTCCGATATGATAACGAGGGGCAGGAGAACGATTTAGGTTAGCCGACTCCTCTTGTATCCTTTGCGCCCGAAACATTTCGCTCTTCAGAAACTCCACCATGTCCTTCATCTCTTTTGCAATACTGTTGGCTTGATCTTCCGCTGTCGTTTTACCATGTTCCAAGGGACCAAAAGTAATCCTGGGATTTCTTCCCGAGTTGGCATAGAAAGGAGAGACTTTTGTTGTTTCCGAAATATGGTTATTTGTTGCGAATTCAGCCATTGCCAACAGTCGGGCTCAATCATCTTGCTGATAGGAGACATAGCTTCGGAGGTATTGTTCCATTATGGCATTGATCCTTTCAGTTTGTCCATCGGTTTGGGGGTGAAATGCGGTGGAGAATCGTGGAGATATTTCCAGGCGTTTGCAAAGCGATTTCCAAAATTCCGCAACAAATTGTGTTCCTCTATCGGACACAACCATATCAGGTAGTCCATGTAGCTTCCAAACATTATCGAGATATAGCCTTGCTACTTCCTTCGAGTCCACCTCTTTAGTTGTTGGTATTAGATGTCGCATTTTGGTTAATCTATCAACAACAACTAAGATCGCATTGTAACCATCACTCTCCGGAAGGTCGGTAACAAAATCCATTGAGACATCCGTCCATGGTCCATCGAGTATTGGCATGGGACGAAGTACCCCATAAGGCGCATTACGTGGTGCCTTGCTACGGACACACATATTGCAATTCCTAACATATCGATCGACATCTTTTCGCATTTGTGGCCAATAATATTCCCGACTTAAGAGTTCCAAAGTCTTTGCTCTACCCGGATGGCCTGCTGATACTTTATCGTGATGTTCTTGTAGGAGCCACAGCCGGAGGTCATTATCATTTGGTACATAGAGTGTAACGGGGGCAGCCTATCTATGTATCGCTAGAATCCAATAGAATAGATGCGGCCGTGCAAGATAGAAATCAGGTGCAGATTTATTCAAAGATACTATCGCTAGAACTCAATAATCTTTAAGGGCTCTGCTACCGATAAATTGTCTACTCGAAGATGAGGATCAGGTCAGTTGGGCGGGAATGATCCTGAGTACTTATACTCCAAAGGATTCTATTCTCTGCTCCTACTTCCTTACTAAGTTCCGGTGCTGCCTCCTGGTGGAAGGGAAGCAATACCATCGCTACCCCGCTTCTCTCTAAGCGTCAGCGAGTGCTTCCGATTCCGAAGGCAACCACCCTTAGTCAAAGCCTTTGTAACACCTGCAGCCTTTGTTGCCACACAACTAGGGGCCTGCATGAATGAGCTGCCGCTCAGGTGTAAGCTTAATCATTGCTGTAGAGCTTCCGCTTATTGTAGACTTCCCAGGCATAGTCTCTTCCACTACTGGCGGACTTCCAATGCTCAGAGGATGTGGAGGATCGCTGAGCACTCAGAGCTTCACTCTGGCTAGCCTTCTAATCATTGGCGAGGCACAGACTCGTCAGTCATTGCTCCCATGAGTAGATCCTCTTCCTAGCGCTCAGAATGTAGTTACTCTGACAGTTGGTAGCTAACCACACTGCCGGTACTTGCATGTCACTGTGCAACTGGCTTCTAACAATAACTCTCAGCATGTAACCGGGCCCTGTGTGTACTCATACACCAGACAGTTGAAATGGCTCCGTTACACTACTCCCCTCTTCCAGGATCTTGGTCTCCGAGATCTATAATCTGTATCTATTTATCTATGCAATACTATATGACAAGGAAACTCCTTTGGTGTGGAAGGGGACGAGAATGTTAAAGGAAATGCTACTGGCCTAGAGCCCTCTTATCTCTGGGCTTCTTAGGGTACCTCATATGGAAATCCCGGAGGGCTTCTTCAGCACTCTTCCTGAGATGTTCCCAGGGTTCCCATGTAGCGTCCTCATTCTCATATCCTTCCCACAGCACCAGGTATTCCACCCTTCTCCTCTTCTTATTGACTCGGCTATCAGCTACTTCCCGGACGATCCAGTTTTGTTCTCCTGTAATCTCCTCAGGTTCCGGTGGGGGAACTCTTCTCTCAGGATCTATTGGTGCTCTATAGGGTTCTAGGAGAGAGACATGGAAGACAGGGTGGATTCCCATTTGCGGGGGAAGAGAGAGCTTGTAGGCACGGGTACCAATAGCTTCTAAGACCTTGAAGGGTCCCATCTTCTTCTGATCCAATTTTCCCAATGGCCGCTTTGTTTGCACATTGCGCCGGTCTAACATAACTTCATCTCCAGGCTTGATTTCAGGGGGTGCCAGGGCATGTGCATCATACCACCGGGCCATCCTTAGTCTAGCCTTTCCCAAGCTTGCTTCATAGCCTGCCAGATAGATTCCCATTGAGATACCATGACCTCGCTTGCTGGATTATTCCATTCAACACCTTCTTTTGGGGCCGGCCAGTTGGTTCTGGGTTCATATCCATAGTTGGCATAGAAAGCCGATACTTTGGTAGACTCAGAAACCGCCGAGTTATATGCATACTCTGCCAAAGGCAAGAGGTCTGCCCAGTCATCCTGTTGATATGAGCAATAACTCCGCAAGTAATGCTCCAGGGTCTGGTTAACTCTTTCTGTTTGGCCGTCCGTTTGGGGATGGAAAGAAGTGGACATCTTCAGCTTCACATTGAGGAGGCTCATGAGAGATTGCCAAAAATGAGAAATGAACCTGCTATCTCTGTCCGAGACTATGTCATCAGGTAACCCATGGAGTCTCCAGACTTCCTTCAAGAACAACTTAGCCAAATCTTCCGTTTTGTTGAGTGTAGGAAGTGGGATGTAATGTGCCATCTTTGAGAAGCGGTCCACTATTACCCAGATCTTTGTAAACCCATTGGATTCCGGTAATCCCACAATAAAGTCCATAGAGATGGAAGTCCATGGCCGATAAGGTATCTCCAGTGGTTGGAGCATACCGAACTTCTTATGTCTTGAGGTTTATTCCTCTGGCAGCTGTCGCAGCTCCGGACATATTCCTCAACATCTTTATCCATGTTGGGCCAAAAGAAGTTGTTTTTTACCCGCTCTAATGTCTTGAACTGACCGAAATGGCCCGCCACTTTAGAGTCATGGGTATCGGTCAGGATATCCATCTGGAGCTTCTTGTCTTTGGGAATATACCATCGATTCTTGTAGAAGATGAGGCCGTCCTTGACAGACAAGTTCTGGTCCAAGTTTGGTTTCCTTTCAACCAGGGAGCGGTGCAGTTCCTGCCAGATTCCATCCTCTTTAGCTGCCATACATAGGCGCTCTAAGAATGTGTTCTGCAATTGATTCACCCTGACAGCCGCTAGCTTAACAGGATCCAAAACCAATTGACCTGGCCTAAAAAACATCTGTGGCTCCGGCCGCAAGGTTTCACTCCCCTCTTCAGGGCGGTGATCCCAACGCCTTGATAGCACATCAGGTTTGCCATTCCTTTCTCCCGGTCTGTAGACAACTTTGAAATTGTAGCCTGCTAGGTCCTCAGACCATCTAGCTTGCCGCCTAGTGAGAACCTTGGTAGAGTTGAAGTACTCTAAATTCTTGTGGTCTGTGAAAACCGTGATCTCCTGCTCGCAACTCTTGAGCATATGCTCCCATTCCCGGAAAGATGCTACAATAGCTCCCATTTCCTTATCATGAATGTCATAGTTGATCTCAGCCGGGGAGAACTTCTTAGAATAGAAAGCTACCGGGTGTAGTTTCCCATCTTCCCCATACTGAGAGAGCACCGCTCCTTTGGCAAAGTCACTGGCATCAGTTTCGACCACAGTTCTTCTGCTAGGGTCAAAATGGAGAAGGATTGGAGCGCTTGTGAATAGCCTCTTGAGTTCCTCAAATGCTTGTTCACAGGCTGCGGTCCAATACCATTTCTTGTCATTTTGCAAGAGGTCGGTCAATGGTTTGCAAACTTTACTGAAGCCTTCAATAAAGCGGCGATAGAAGTTTGCAAATCCCAGGAAACCTTGCACTCCCTTAATATTTCGGGGTACTGGCCATTCCTGAACCGCCTCTACCTTGTCCTCTGACATAGATACTCCCCTTTCCGAGATGTGGTAGCCAAGATATTCTACTTCTCGGACATGGAAGGATGTCTTGCTGATGGAGGCACACAGTTTTGCTTCTCTGAGCTTCTGTAGAACCTTCTCAACCAGCCTTTCATGCTCTTCCTCAGTCTCTGAGTAGATGAGGATGTCGTTGATATAGACAACCACTCCTTCATCCAGTAGTTCCTTTAGCACATCATTGATCATTGCCTGGAAGGCGGAAGGGGCGTTGCATAGACCGAATGGCATCACATTGTACTGATACAGTCCATAGCGGGTTCTGAAAGCGGTTTTCCACTCATGACCTTCTGCTATCCTGATCAAGTTGAAGCCATTCTTCAGGTCTATCTTTGTGAAGATCTTGGCTTTGAACAACCTATCCCTGAGCTCACTCATGATAGGCAGCGGATACTTGTCCTTGACAGTGACCTTGTTCAACCCTCTGTAATCAACACAAATTCGCCATGTCCCATCCTTCTTAGGTATGAACAATATGGCCGCCGCTGCTGGGCTGCTAGATCTAGAGATTTTTCCTAAAGACAACTCTTTGTCCAGGTACTCTCGGAGGGCTTTCAGCTCTGGAGCGGAACATGGGTATAGTGGGCCAAATGGGGGAGCGGTACCAGGCAAGAGGTTGATCTTCAGATCATTTCGGGAGTGTGGAGGCAGCTCCTGTATCTTTCTTGACTGAATACGTCGGCCCATTCCCTATAGCGAAGAGGTATCCTCTCAGAGATATCTCCTCCATCCTCATCATGCCATACTGAAGCGGCCAGTTGATACACTACATCTTCTTCCTCCATCAGTTGGTATGAAGAGATTAGTTCAAACTTGATCGCTGCTGGGAGACAGTTCTGCTTGCAGTAGTCACTTCGCCAGCTTATGGTATTGAGTTCCCAATTGATATCCGGGTTGTGCTTCCTTGCCCATGCAATTGGCAGGTAACCTGATATTCCTTCTTCCAAAGTAGCCACTTCCCATCGGAGTGTCTCCTTATGATCTCCCATGTTCATGTGGACTGGGTGAGTGTAATACTCTCCTCCGCCCATCATGACATCTCCTTGAGCATCATACATTGTCAGAGGTTGATCTCGCCGCACTAAGGGAACTCCATGCTTCCTGACAAAACTCTGGTTGAGGATTGCTCCTGTACAACCGGTGTCAAAGAGGAATGTCCCTTGGGCGTCTTCAACTTTGTTCTTGACCGTCCATGACAGTTCTGCTTTCAGTATTGGCCTCTTGCCATGTACTGGTAAGGATGGAAGCTTCTGTTCCATTCTTCTTTGCTTCTGTGCGGGTTCTGGGCTTGATTCTCTTTGTCTTTTCTCCATTGCTAATAGCTGCGGGCACTACTAAGATCAAAAGATCCTTTGGTTCTATTCCCAAGCAATAATATAGCAAGTGTATTGTGTGGAAGTCTGGTAGCGGGCTGGAAGTGTCTTTGTAGCAAATGTAACTTTGGCAGAGCACTTACAGACCAGCTGTTTCGGGTCATAAACCCATCCTCAGAGTGCTTGGAAACAATCAAATAGGCGAAAAACACAAAAATTTATTCAAGAGAAAACAAAGAAATCGAGACCCAAAAGAAAACTAGTAAACATAGACTCTAAACAGACATTTCTACCAGATGATTTCATTGTCCGAGTCTTGCTCAGGCTGAAAGACGAAATCTTCTGTCACCTCTGGGAGTA